GGATCGAACCTGCAACCCAGGTATGTGCCCTAACTGGGAAAGAACACCCAGCCTTTTGGTATATGGGATGATGCTCCAACCAACTTAGCCACCTGGCCAGAGCAGGCTGAGATACTTTTGACGGATGAGCTATCTTTGGTCTGAGCATGGCAAGTGCATCATAAAGCAGGGCCATCTTTGGCCAGAGAGGCTGTGAGGGTAGGCAGCCAAGGCCCATGGCCATGACAGAGGGTACCAAAGGAGGCCTCTCTGAGGAGGCGACCTTTGAATTAAGCCACGAATGAGGAATGAAAAAGGTGTAGCTATGTTAAAAGCTGCGAAAGAATTCCAAGCTGAGGGGCAAGTGCAAAGGTCCTGAGGTGGAAAAGATTCTCGTTGATTGTAAAACTTATCATGACACTGAAGTGGCTGCTATTTAGGGAGAGAAGAGTATGGTGCTGATGAGAGGGGTGATCAGGTGCTGGCCACCCAGTCACTCAGGCTGTGGTGAGTGGTTTGGACTTTATTCCATGAGCATTGGGAAGCCACTGTAGGGTTTAATGAGGTGGGAGATGGGATCTGATTTATGTTGTTGTTTTTTAAATATATTTTTATTGATTGATTTCAGAGAGGGAGAGAGAGATAGAAACATCAATGATGAGAATCACTCGGCTGCCTCCTGCATGCCCCCTACTAGGGATCGAGTCCGCAACCTGGGCATGTGCCCTTGACTGGATCGAACCCAGAACCCTTCATGTCCGCAGGCCGAAGATGCTCTATCCACTGAGCCAAATTGGCTAGGGCTGATTTATGTTTTTAAAGGACTCCTTTGGCTGCTATGTGGAGCCTGGAGTGGCAGTTAGGGTAAGGGTTAGGGTGGGGGAGGTGCAGAGGGACCCTGGAGGGGGCTGCTACCGCCATCTGGGTGAGGGATGGAGATGCTTGGGAGGTGGTGACTGAAGTGGGGAAGTGGGAAATCGGGGATATCTGGAGAGGAGCCCAGGTGCCTGCCAGTCCCTCTGTCTTCACCTGTCAGACAACTGTGCCTTAGGAATTTGCTCAGCAGACCCTCCTGTGCCAGCTCTGCCCAGGATTCTCCCAGCTGGGTCTTTTGTGACAGCCCTGTCCAGCCAGGGGGGAGTCTTCTCCACTCGGCCAGATGCTCCCAGAGGCGGAGCACCTAGGTGCTCAGCCTGGTGCCAGCCTCCCTTCTAACAGGCTTCACTCCAACCAGAGCTGGTGATCGACCATCAGTAACCCTCCCTAACAAGGCCCTGATGCTCTCTCTGCGGGGTGTGGCAGGCTGAGTGGGTGCATCTCTGCAGAGCTCCCCTGGATAGGCTGGCCATGTGTCAGCAGCACTTCCTTCCTATGCTCGTCTTGCTCACACCCTCACCTCCTGCTCCCCGGGGACTTGTTTGCACAGCCCTCACCTGGACCTCAGACCTTGGAGTCAGGGAATGTGAGCCAAATGGCCAGGAGCCCCAGCATGAGTCCACTGCCTAGCTGGGCTCCTCCACCCAGGAGCTGATGCCTGACTCCCTGGCTTGAAGCACACCCAGGTATCAGGAAGGCTATAGTCTCAGACACAGGGAAATAGTCCAGAGTCCCTATAAGAGCCAAGAGCCTCAGGTGTGTGTTTTCTCCCCCTGTACGGAGATGTAATTCATGTACTATAACATTCACCATTAAAAAGTATATGATTCAGTGGCTTTTAGTATATTCATATGGTAGTACAACTGTGTCCACTATCTAATTCCAGAACATATTCATCACCCCAAAAAGCAACCCCATTAGAGTCCATCCTCACACCCCTCTTCTCCCAGGCCCTGACAACACTAATTTACTGTCTGTCCCTATGGATTTGCCCTTTCTGGACAGTTCATCTAAATAGCAAAAGGCTCATCAGCCCTCTAGGCCACAGGTTCTCAGTGTAGCCCAGGGAAGGGGTCACAAGAGCAATGCGGCCTCGTATTCCTTTTGAGATGAGGATTTGTACCAGATTATCAGTCCTGCATATTCAAAAGCCTGTGTTTCCCTAAGGAATGATGCCTTACTCATCCCAGAAGCCCCTCAAAGTCTGGCCCAGGACCCACTCACTGCTCTCCACCCCGATCCCCAGGTCTCAGAGCAGAGGAAATAAAACCAAAATAAGGAGTGGCGACTGCTCTAGGCCAGTTAACTGTGCAAACCCGCATTAGATGCCTGACAAACATCAGCCATGAAATAAACTCTGACCTAATTCCCCTTACAGAGTCTACAAGACACCAAGTACCAAAAAGAAACAAACTTTTTTTGGGAAAAAAAATCTCCCTCTCCCCTGTGGCAATTGAGCTCGAGGTGGTTACCTGGCCCGTTACTCCAGGCTAGGCTCGGGTCTGCCTGTTTTGAGGTACTGAATGTGGTAGCCACATGGACATTCCATCTACACATGGGCAGAGAAGTCAGGGGATTGGTCTTGAGCTCCTCAGCACAACTGCTGACCACTTGCATTCTCTCAGAGAGGGCAGGACAAAGGGCCGCGGAGCCTAGTTCTAAAGCCCGTGGGCAGGGGCTGAGCAGCCTGTCATTTGTGCCGTGAAGATGAGCTCAGGAAAGCACCGCTTTGAAGAAAACCTCCAAAGGCAGTTTTCCCTCAGGGCCCCTGCAAGGAGCTCCCGACCCACTTGAAGAGAATATTTTCTGATTCTAGACATGAACCTTGAGTCACATGATAAATGTGCTCCCAAAACATAGGGTCAATTAATTTTGCTTTTTAGAACACAACCAAATTTGTAATTGTCTATACAACTCTTCAAGTATTGCAAACAACTACTCTTACTTGCTATTTGCTTGTAACTATCAAGTTTTCAGAGAGTGGAAGGGAGAGACAGAGAGAAACATCGATGTGACAAAGACACAACGATCCTCCCGCATGTGCCTGGGGCCAGAGCCAGGATCAGGCCTTTTAGGGAGGTACACGCTCTTGACTGGAATCGAACCCAGGACCTTTTAGTCCGTGGGCGGACACCCTCTCCTCTGGGCCAAACTGACTAGGGCTATCAAGTTTTCTTAAAAGAGGCTCCACTACATTCACATACATCTTCTGCACGCAGTGCCACCCCTACTTAGGCCCTTGCCCACATCCCCTGGAGCAGCTGGCACCAGGGCACTGAAAGTCAGTGCCAGAGCCTGTCCTCCTGTGCTCCCAGAAGCGAGGCAGTGGGGAGGCAGCAGCTGAGTGGGGAGGAGAACCTAGGGATCTGCCCTTCTAGGGAGGGTGACACATACACATACATCTGCTGTATCTTGAGAAAGCTCCTAAGTTGAAAAAAACACACAACCCAGGCCAGGAGCGGGGTGTTGTACCGCGCCCCCATCCTTGGGCCACTGTGAGCTACAGGACACCAAATGGTCTCAGCGTCACACCCCACAGAGAACGAGGCCCCCCTCTCTGGGCACTGTCCCACCTCTTGCCATGCCATGAGAGGAACTCGGAAACACTGCTTCTCCTTGCACCACTATGGACTCACAAGAAGCAGGAGGGGAGCCTGCCCTGCTAAGCTTGTTCTCGGGCCTAGGCCTTCTGTCTAGTCAGGGTTATCACAGTGACTCAAGCCCCCTGACCATGTAAGCAAGCAACTCACCTGCCAGTGGTTTGGCAGTAGTGGGTTATGGCAACTTGGCCCCAGATCGAAGGGCTTGCTCCTTCTAAGGGGCCCCAAAAGCATCTTTGTTAAGCATCTGCTCCTGTGGGGCAGAGGTCTCTCGGGAGAGCTGCAGCATCAGGTGGCAAGGTCAGTGGTCAGCCCCCTCCCCGATAGACTTGAAAGGAAGCAAACATCCTCTCCACCCCTGAGCACAAAGAGATAGAACACTCATCCAACATGCTCCTTCTAGAGATGAGAAAATAGGGGTGCAGAGGGCAAGGAGCTCACTTCCTGAGTCAGCTGTCTACAAGGCTTTCCATCCTGGGTTTCTAGAGGGAAGCCTCAATCTGTCATCTCACCTCCCACTGCCTTCAGCATGAAACCCTCATCTCCAGATCAGAAAGCCAGGCAGTCACCCTCCTCCCTCTGGGTGACCCCCACCATGAGCCATGTGAGCCAGGATAGGGCCTGCACCTGTGGGACCCACCTACACTGTGCCCGCATTTGCACCCAACATCCGCCAAAGAGAGTCCCCCAAACCTTTCATGTACTCTAGGAGCTCTAACCTCACCCCAACTTGGGCTACCTGAGGACAATCTAAACACTAATGTGAATTTTTTTTAAGTGCAGCTTAACTGCTCCAAAGCACTCAGAGTAGGCTCTTCACACTTGAGATCATCTGCTCCAATGGTCAGAAAAGCATGGTTTGTAATGATCATGAAATCTTTTCAAACCACTGGGTATGTAAACATACTTAATTGCAAATTCATCAAACAGGCCCTTTACCAACATTACTGATTTGAAACACCTCAACAAACCTTTCGTGGTGCATTTGAGACCAAGCCAGCTTCACTTTCCACACATGGTGTTTAGGCATTCTGTTGCATGGTGCACTCAGGCCAATAAGGACAGAGCAAGTAGCGATCCACAACCAGAAAATCTGAAGCCCACCAGCTTTTCTGCGGGTTCCTCCCAGCACCAAGGCTTGGGGTTTCGGGCTTTAGGGGGGAGGCTAACTACAGAGCTCACAGCTCAGACCACACTATGCACACCACCCTCAGGAGTCAGGGGAATGGATCTCAGCTCAAATGTACTGTGAGAAGATTGCACCCCAGCATCACCAAGCACCAGGATAAGGCTGACACCTGCTTGCGAGCAAGCTGGGAGGGCAAAAGCCAACAGCCAGCGGGGAAGTGGCCTGCCCAGGGCCACCCCTCCTTCCTTCAGCACAGTTCTCCTCTGGTTCAGATCCCGCTGGGCATGAACGGGAAGAGAGACCAGAACGGAATTCTCCCGTATCTACTTTGTTGTAAGCGAAAGTCACTTCTTGCCCGTGCCTCACATACCTGGTCAAGGAGGTCGCAGGCACCCGGCTGGGCTAGGGCCACTTACCAGTGGGGGCTGCGGCTGGGGGTGCTGCCCTGCTCCCGACGGGGGCGGGTAGTGCATGAGCAGATTGAAGGCGGAGTAGACGGTGTCTTTGTACATGCTGCTAGCGCACTCCGGGGCCTTCAGGCCTGGAAAAACCACAGCTGGGTCAGACACGCCAGCCCGGGCAGCGAGGGCTGAAGGCTGTCTGCTCTCGAGAGAAAAGCAAGAATTGCCAAGGGGTCCCCTTCAAGTTCGTGAGAAGAAACGGGATGGAGGTGCCCAGTGCCAAGTGCTGCGAAGATCCTAGGTCCAGGCCTTCCCCAGGCGGCCCCCACCTGACCCCCACCCTCCCAGCCGCCCCGGAACGCTGGCCAGCGCTTTCTCCTCGGGACGGGGATTAGGCAGTCACCTGGGCAGAGGGGAGGCGGAGATGAAGGGGGTCTGTTTACTCCTATAAAGGTCAGGGCACCGGAAGTGACTCGAGCCCGGAGGCGCCCGGGAAACCCGCCCCCCACTCTCCCCACCCCCTCGGTTTTACCGCCTCCTGGAGCTGCCGTTGGGGGGAGGCGCCCCCTCGGTTCGCTCCCTCCCTCCCCCGGAGGCCTGGGCCTGAGCGGGTGGCGGGCAGCCGGGCCGTGCAGAAACTCACCGTCCTCCAGAGCTTCTGGAAGTTTGTCGGGGAAAAGTCTCTGCGAACTGTGTTCCCGCCCGAGGGCCTGCGGGGAAATCGGAGGGGCCGTGAGGGGCGCGGGGAAAGCTGGGGGCTCCGGGCCAGGGGCTGGAGGGGCTCTGAGGGATGGGGACCCCCTGGGCCGCGGAAGGGAGGGGCGGGTCCGCGAGAGCCCAAGTCGGGCTGCGGCCGCGCGGGGAGGAGCGGGGCGGGGGCCGGCGCTCACCTCGGCCCCGACCTCGGCCTCGCCGCCGGCGCCGGTCCCCGGGACCCCCGCGCCGCCCGCCGCGCCCTCGGACTCATTGACCAGCGACGACTTGAGCTCGGCCAGGTCGCGCTCGGGGCCCGCGGCGCTGTCGCGGCTCTTGTCCTGCTCCTCGCCTTCGTCTTGGAAGGCCAGCAGCTCGTCGGGCGCGCCGAGGTCGTCGCCGCCGCCCGCGCCGCCCCCGCCGGAGTCCAGCTGCGGCATGGTGCGCTCCGCCCGCGGGGGCGTGGGGCGCCGAGGTGCGGGGCGCGAAGCCGGCCCCGGAGCGGCGAACCCGGAGTCCGGACCTCCGAGCCCGGAGCGTGGCGGGAGGAGCGCGGGCGGACTCCGCCTGGACGGGCTGGGGGCGCTGGGCACTGGGCGCGGGCGCCGGGTTCAGCCGCTTCGGGAGCTGGCGGGTCGGAACATCAAAGGCGCCGCCGGCGGAGTGCGGGGGGCGGGGCGGGGCGCCGGGGGCGGGGCGGGAGGTGGGTGGGGCCAAGTCGCCCGGCCCCGCCCCTTCTCTCCCGGGAGAGGCCGGGACACGCCCAGGGGTATATTCTTAAAGGGCTCGCTCTCCCGGCGGAACCCGAGCGAGGCGCCGGACACCCAGAAAAACTGCGGGGATTTTAAAGCAGAAGCCAAAGTGTGAACTGCGTGTGTGCCCTGAGCCTAGTACGTCCTGGGCTTGGATTTGGGCTCTTCCTAGAGCTTGGGGCTGCTCGGAGGCTGTGCTCCAACCCCGCACCGACAGGAATTGGCCTCCTCCAAGCCCATTTTCCAAACCTAAGCCAATGAGGTCGTCCCCTCACAGCGCGAACACCAGCATGTGCCCGTCACACATTTATTGAGTGCCTGTTACATGTGGGGCTCATGCATCACATTTGTGAGGGCCTCTCGGCCATGTGGCGGCTCCAAGGCGCGAATACAGCAGCAGGACAAGGAGAAAGGACCCCGCTCCCCCCCCCCCCCCCCCCCGCCATGGGGATCCTCCAGCCACACCCTCTCCCTCCCACGGCTGTCCCAACTCAGTTCCAGGCCTAGAACCTGCGGCCCGGGGGTGCCAGGCAACTTAACACGGGAGAAGTCGCATTCCCGCGGAGCCTATTGACTCCGAGCCCGGCGCAAACGGGACCTCGCAAGATCCAGGCTGCAGGGTCTATAAGCCAGGAGGCGCGCGGGCAGCGCGTCCGCTTACATCGCATCTATCAGGCACCAGGGGGCAAGTCCACTCGGGCCTCTGCAGCACGCTTGGCCTCCGCTCAGCCCCTGGATCTGGGCCCCTTTGAGTCGCGGTGCAGTGAACCGCAGCCCCCAGCAGGTTTCTGTGCTGGACTCAGCGTAGAGTCTACGTTCCCATCTCTCCCAAGAACAACTGCGCCAGAGGGTATTTGGAAAGGGAGGGTGCCTTGGACGCTTCTCCGGCTCAGAGCCTCGTAGGACCCCTGGCTGCGGTGCAAAGTCGGGCCGGAAGAGAGCCGCGCCGCCCCTCGGGGTCCAGGCCCAGCCTGGCTGGCTGCGGATCAAAGAGCCTCGGCCGTCCTCTGCGCTTAGATCCTATCTGCGCCCGCCCAGCGGGGCGCCTCGGCCCCTCCACCTCTGGGCTGGAGTGCCCTCTTTTCCTCCCTTGGGGGGGGGGGGGCGGAGGAGGCATGGGGCTGGGGGGTGGGCACGAGTGCTCAGTAAGGCCATAGAAGGGTGTGGAAGACCCTGCCCATTAGGTCCCCCCAGTCAGCTTTTCTGGGGTGAGCTTGCTGCTGTCTCGCCTCATCCCCTCTAGAGTAGGGCGAGGGGCTCCAGCCAGACGGGGCCCAGTCTCAGGGGAGAGCCCTGGAGGAGGGGCCCAGGGCCTCCCCCACCTCAGCCCCTGAAGATGTCCGGTCTGGCTTTGGGATGACCGCCCCTGTTCCAGCTGAGTGGGAATACGGATCTGCCTAACCCAAAGGCTCCGAGGGTCTTCCTGCCTTTTCAGGTGACCCCAACCTAGCAGGAGCCTCTTCCAGGACAAAGTTCCCCAGAGCCATGAAGACACAGGCTGAAGTTTTCTCCAGTCCATAGAGAAAGGAGAGAAGTCAGGGCAACAGTGAGTGAGTTTGTTTTTTTTCAAGAGGGCTACATTTTTTCAGCTTAAAGTATTAGCCTTTAATCAGAGATTATGAACTTTGTTTTATTGGTGTGAAAACAGCCTTTCTTTACTGAAATGATGGTGAGAATTGATTTTTTTTTAATGTTCTTATTTGGCAAAAGAAAAGCTTGGCACCTCTGTTCACTCTCCCACCCCCAAGTTTCTCTGGGCATTTTATAGGGCTCTGGAATCCTCAAGTCCGGGAACCATCGCCCTGTGGGGTCATGGCGCCAACCTCTTCCCTGCTGGGTGGAACAGGGAGCAGATAGGTGAGTAGGGAAATAGGTGTGTGAGGAGGGGTGAGGGAGGGAGAGACAGGCTGAGTTTCCGATATCCACAGCCACACTGAAATCAGCCTGAAGACCTGAGTACCTAAGCTCAGGCTGTGGAGAGGGGAGGGGCTCAGGAGACCACTTCAGCAGCTTAAGAAGCTGAGAAATGATTAGAGCCAAGTTTGTTGCTGGATTAGTCTCTATGAACCATGAGTAGAAGGAGCTCAGATGTGGTGAGATCAATGGGGCTAGAGTGGTCAGGTTGGCTTCCAGGAGTGGGAAGATTTCATCTGGGCCTGGAGAGACAGAGAGGAAAAGGAGCTCAGGCTTGTCCCTAAAAGGCAAGTGCAGGCCCTGTGGCAGCCCCTTCCTTGTCTGTTAGCACTGATTCTGTCATCATCCACACAGTGACTTCATTTTACTGAGTGATTGCTATGTACCAGGCATCCTGTCAAGAGCTTCACACACATTATCTCACTTAAACATCATACCAATCCTATGATATAGGGACGATTGTACTCATTTACCAGTATGAATGAGGAAACTAAAGCCCAGAGAGGTTGAATAAGTCACCCAAGGCCTCACAGCTTGGAAGGGAGGTTATCAGCATTCCAAACCCAGGCAATCTAACTCCTGAGCCCACACCCTTTTATACCCTCACTAGTGTTCCATTATGACCTTTACAATTCAGCGGGGTCCTTTTCTGCTTTGTGGTCTTTGCAGACAAATGTCAGTGAGCTGCCCAATAATCGAGTTCCTACTTTCTGGCTGACTCATGCTGCCTGGAGGGGCTGCCAGGAGGACTGGGGAATCCTGTGACTGGTCTGTGTAGGGTGGCTCAACTGTTTGCTAGGTAAGAGGGTTTAGAGCGTCTCCCGGAGTCTGAGGACCTCAGTCAGTACGATCTCACCCCTGGGCCCACTCTAAACTACCTGCTCTGGACACGGACTCAGATGCCATAGCGATAGGCCCTGGTGTTCTTCCATGGGGAGGTGAGTAAGATCTGCTGTGGCTGCCCCTGGATGTGACCAGGGGAGTTTTGGGACCAGGCAATCTGCAGGGGGGCCCCAGAGCCTTCTGGGCTTATGAAGCCCAGGTCAGAGCTGGAGATTTAACAAGGCTTCATCTTCATGCAAATAAACCAGGTGGACCTGTGCTGTCCTCAGATGTTGGATGCAGGACAAAGTGCTCTCAAGGGTTGGGGGTTAGAGCAAGAGAGCTCTGGCTTTGGATTTAGGCAGCCCTGAGATTTCATCCCTGCCCTACCATTTACTAGCTGGGGGACCCCAGGCAAACCACTGACCTGCTCTGAGGCTCCGCTTTTTTGTGGGCAAAGTGGGTATCACACCTGAACCTGCCTCGCACTGTGGGAGCGAGGCTGAGATGCATGAATCATATATCCTAAGAAAGAACTTTTAGCACAACGCCTGGCACATTCCAAGTGCTCTAATAAACGGGTGCTCTTGAGCTAGAAATTTTTCGGAAGTTGTTAGGCTAATTGGCTCTTCGTGTAACGTCATGTAAACCATCTAAGTGTTCTCATGGCCTGAGCCCACTTAATCACAGCTAAGGCTGAAAATATACATTTCCTTTCCTTTCTTTCAAGTTACTTTAACATGAAAGGCCCACATGAACTCTGACCTTTTCTAACAGGGAGACCCTTGAAATGTGGCATTTCCAGAAAACGGCTCAAAGGAGCCCCAGAGAGATTTGGTAAATTACAATGGGGAGAGGTTCAGAGTGGCGTCTTGTCCTGCCCACCAGCCAACCTGGCATCCTGTTGGGGCTTGCCAACCGCTGCCTGGAGGCTGGGCTGCTGCTTGGGCAGGAACACTTCCCCTCCCATGGAACCTTCTCTCTCAGAGCAAAGCCTGGTCACACGTCCTAGAAGCAGACTGTGGTTTGTTACTAGAAACACAGTTTGCTCCCTGGAGACTGTGTCGTTTCACTGCATGTTTGTGCATGTGTGTCCATGTGTGTGTGCATGTGGGTGGTTTGGGCCTGAGAATGGCAAAGACACACAGTTGCTATGATGCCACTGCTCTGGGTCAGGGACCAGGCAGCTGCCTTAGAATGAAGCGAAAACTGTTTGGAGTCATCTTTCTTTGTAATCTTCAGTGGGTTTTCTCCTCTACCAGCTCTCCACCCCCAATTGTACAATAGCCAAGAATTGCTCTTAAAATAAACATTTAATAATAAAACTAGATGTTAGCTATTCCTGATGAAACCCCAAGGAAGTTTGGCTAAATTGGTTTGAGGGTGGTGGTAGTAAGAATACAAAGAGAGCTGCCCACAGCTTCAGAGGGCTTGTTATGACAATTTCCCATGGGCTAATTTCCCACTGTGCCAGCCACTGTTCCCAATGAATGGGGCTAGGATTTACTTACCAGGAGAAATAAATAGCCCAGGGTTTCCATAGGAAAGGGTCTGGAGTCAAAGGCACCAAGGTACCAGAACAAAGGCAAGCCTGGAATGGCTGGCATATGACAAGCACTGTGCCACCAGGGCACACTGGTCCCCCAAGAGCTTGGTAGTGGGAGGCCTGTGTTCTGGTTCCCAAGAGAACCTGTGCCAGATACTGTAGTTACTGTCAGTCCCAATGTATACAGTCATTAAAGACTCTGGGAAGTCCTACCCCAGAGGAATCTGTCTAGCCTCCTTCAGCCAAGTGTCTCCCAAACGTATTTGACCATAAAACTATTTTCCTATATATGATTTTCCAAAGAATGTGGCTCCTCTGAATGTCTTTGAGGAATGCTAATATCCCTGGTTTCAAGAGGCAAGGAGAAGCACTCCTTACCCCCAAGCATATTCCAATTTGTGTCCCTGATATGGAGAAAATTAGCAATGGTTGCTTCCCAAACTGGTCATCACAGCTCTAATAAGGCTTCGCTCCTGCCCTGCTGGATTCTCAGCTTCTTGGGATGATGGAAAGCTTATCTGTGCCCTTGCTGAGCGCTAGCATGAACAAGCATACCGTGGTGC